ATCCGATTCCTGCTTCTCCGAACAAGATTCCACACTGGCCGGCTTTATTCCGGCCTCTCCCTCGTCCCCTTTTGGGCCACCTTGTCTAATAACGACGACGGAGCAGAGCCAGAAACTAAGTCTCGGTTTGCCAGGACAGCCCGGCGTCAGCGTTGGCGCTCAGTCAGTCTTCAGCAGTGCTGGTAGCGCCAACGACTCGCCCGAAAGGCTGAATGGAGGCTACAGCAATGGCAATACGGTCTCCAGCTCCACTTCGTCTCCAAGCGGCAGCAGCATCAACATCAGCGGCATTAGCAACGGTGGTGCCTACCACTACTGGAGCAACCCACCTTCTCCTATCTCCACCAGCCCGACCTCTTCGCTGTTGCCGCCTCCCGCGGCTTGGGCCAACTCGACAAAGTTGGCGAGCAGAGGCGATGTGCTGCCCGACTCGATGACCGCCAACCTTCTGGACTACGGCTTGACTGACGCCGCAGACGCTGAATACACCGAAGGTGCAGATTGCAACGGCGATGGATACGGAGACGACAAAGCCTTGCATCCCAGGTCGCCTGCCGGCAGACAGTGCAAGGTGGGTAGACAGGCGAGGCGTCTGCCGAGCCCTCTCTGTCCATCTGAAGACTCAGAAGAGGTGGACGGTCTGCTTTCCGGTCTGCCACCTAGTTGCTATGTCCTATGCACTCGTTGGGGAGCATGGAAATATTGGGTGACTGCGTCAATCCGATGTACAGTCTTCTAAAGACGATGAGATAGTCTCATTTGGCCTTTTTAAAGCATGACTTATTGGAAGGCTAGAAACATGTTGAGGCAAAAATACGCGACAGACTATTGTCACCTGCTTCTTGGTCGCTATGAGTGCTCTTCTTTCCTGACTATCATGGCGTCACCCCCGAGCCATTTATACAATAATTTTTGTGTTTTGTGTGTTTTTAGTTTGGGCCTACAGTTTTCGACAAGACACATTGTCTATGCTTAACATTACATCACTTTAAAGCTGTTCTGTTCCTTCTTATTTCGGAACGCGATCAGTTCATAAGTTTGTTCCTTTTTTAGCTTCTGCCCTTGTTTTTCATGATGTTTCTTCTTTCAGCAATCTACAATTTCAAGCCGTTTTCACGATTTCGTCAAAAAGAATTGTATGGCTCTCGCAGGGCAAGAAACAATATATGGAACGGAAACTATTTCACAGCATTTTGGCTTATCAAGTAACCCAGAACATATGCTAAGATATTTGGAGTGAATGATCAAATACTATGAGGATTGACAGTTTGGCTTACTAGTATTCACTACATGATACGATTGAAACAGAGTTAACTACATACCAATTCTATGCAGTGATATAAGACTACGAAAAGGATATAGTCCATCGTATCTTGGTCTTCAATCCACAATTGAGTTAGCTCAATGATGGCATGTTAAGAGATTCATATAAATTAATTTTCTTTTCGTATTTTGCATATGGTGTGCTGAGCTTAATGGTCTGCACAAAGTATTCTGGGGGAGACGAATGCAAGTAGTGGAATTGAGAAGTGAATAAATGAGACTCTTGTTGAGTGGTGTATGGGTGAAGACCTATTAGGTATGAAGAAAAACTGGGTTTCGACGACCGTCACATGATGGATGAAAGCCCAGCAAGGATTCATAGGGGTCGCAGGGCGGTGTAATCACAGCTCCAAGGCAATCCTCCCACAACTTTCGGAGAGACCAACTTACAAATCTCCTCTACTCGCCTCTTCAAACGAAATGAAAGTTATTCCAACATCAGAAGGACTATTGTTGTTCGTTTGGTTTAATCGCTGCTTTCTCTTGACTTGAGGAAAAGTCTCGATCTTTTGGCATGCTCGTCAAAGGAGTAAATTTTTGACAATTTTCTATATATTTTATATATATATATGGAGAAGTTTCTTTTAGAGGAATTGCTTTGCATTAAATTTGACTTGAAATTGTATTTTATTTCGAATAAAAATGTGATAAAGAGATTTGTCGGTCGACCTCATCATAAGACAACTAAGGGTTCCTTTTAGTCTACTTTCACTTGGTTTTGCTGAGATATTCAGGTGGACTTAGCTCTTAAAACAATCTCGAGTTTACACCAAGTTAGGAAAACTTATTAGTTAGTCTTTCTTTGTCATATATGCTTATAAAACAACTCAACTGGCGGTAGACAGACAGATTTGGTCACTTACCATATCCGATTTTGTGTGCGTATGTGTCTGTGTATATGTACGTACGAAGATACTAAACAAAACCAATCAGTGCATAAAAAATTGTACTAGTGTCATCAAAAATTCACGAGCTTCTCTTTTTGATCTATAGAGACTACAATTACTCTTGTATGGTTGTAAACACTGTGGCATTAAATATAATAAAAGTCGAGGATATCAGCTAAATCACCTTCCTTTGGAAGGTAGCTTAACCTCTCTTACTCGAGACTTTTATTCAAGTATATATAGTTTTTGGTTGTATATACGAAAAATAAAAGGTTGTGGCCTCTAATTTGGTTGTAGGCTCCTTTCTCCATAAAAGTAGTTTGACCTCATTTTCGCAGCATGGTCGTCTTGTCTTGAGGACCTAGATGAGCATATCTTGTCCGAAGTCCTCTTACATGATTGCCATGATAATTTCTAGCATCGATGCAGGCGAAACGTCTGGGAAGTCCATAGTTCAATACTGGGAATTATCATAATTTTTATGACAGAGGACCTCGGACAAGATGTGTTCATCTAGGCCTCCAAGAGAATATAATCATGTTGCGAAAATGAATTCAAATCATCTCCATGGAGACAAAGAAGCCTAATACCAAATTAGAGGCCACATCATCTTGTTGTTCATATCTACAATAAAAAATTATACACATTTGAATGAAAGCATTGAGTAAAGGAGGTTGAGCTACC